GTGAGGAATTTCATCGACTCGGTGGCCTATGAATGGATCTGATGAAAGAAAACTCGTTTCACGAACTGGTGCTGGTGATAAAGAAAGTGAACGTCGAGCCGGCACTATTTTTGTACATGATATCTAGCTTTATGCATTTCCCCGTCTTCCAGTCACTCATCTATCAAAAGGCCTGCTTGCAGCTGTACGACGGGGACGAAATCTACTGCGGCAATGTAACGGCGGCAAACAGGGACGTCGCAGTGCAGACCCTGGCTAACCATGTATTCCTCTTTTCGTCATTATGTCTGTTGCTGCCATCGATGCCGACAACGGTGATGCTGGGCACTTTCGGTGACCTGGTCAGTCGCAAGATCTCGCTGTTGCTGCCTTTGGTGGGTTTGGTGTTGTCCGACCTCAGCTACCTCATCCAGTGCCATTTCAAGCATCTCGACGTGTATATTTTGTTAATCAGCGATCTTTTGTTCGGCATATTCGGCGGCTTCAGCGCCCTCATCGCTTCCATGTTCTCCTACGGTGCTGATTCGACTGCGGTAGTCAACCGCAGCTATCGGATGGCTCTTATGGAGGGCAGTATCGGTCTTGGCGGCATGATCGGCTTCCTAGTGTCAGGTCCATTGCTCGAGTCAGCCGGCTTCTCTGCCGTGTTTCTCGTTAACATTGTCATTCACACCGTAGTCTTTGCCTATGTGTTGTTATTCGTCCGGGAACTGCCTCCCCGTCATTCTTCTCTCTGTTCTGCCGCCAATATTTCACGACACGCCCATTTCTTCTCCACCGTCGTCGCCTTCTTCCGCCTCGTGGAGACTTACCTCCAACAAACTTGCTCCACGGTTGTCAAGACGCGCCACACTCACGTCAGGAGGTGCATAGTCGTCGTTCTCATGGCGTTCAGCGTGTCATATTTGGTTTTCAGCGGTGCGTATCCATTTGTCTAGTTTTATTGGCGTCGGTTTCACGGTAACAGACCTCTATTCTTCTGTGTTTCAGGCTCGCAGAACATCATGTTTTACTACCTGAAACATCAGCTCGATTGGACAACCTCAACGTACGGTTATTTTCGAGGATTTTACTACGGCAGCAGCAGCTTCGCTGTATTTGTTATTCCTTATTTACATAACTATATGACACATTGACTTAACTTTTCTGAAATCAGATTCAAGGCGTATCGCATCGCGTATTCCTGATAGTTGCGTAGGAATATCATTTTAACAAGCTTCGGCTCCATGACATTTCAGCACTTGCGGTTCTAAATATATCTGGCATTATTTTTTTCGCCAAATGATTCTGATTTAAAGTGTATATTGCAAAACAGCGGGTAACAGTATGTCATGCATGGTCTTTAGTAGATCATCATCATCGTTGGAATCAACAGGTATGCACTTAGGAGAAAAGGAGCTTACATCGCTGATCTACTAACAGAACCGAAATAGGAAACGGTAGAGGAGAGCTTCCAGTTTAAGTATCTCGGTTCTGTCATGTCCAGCGGTGATATCGTCCAATCAGAGCTAAGCAAAATAAATGTTCTTGCCTCCAGTTCCCTTAATAATATGTTTGGCTTGAGGAAAGAGCAACCATTTTCATAAAAATTCACCTATACCGCAGTCAGGATATTGTTGTTGTACGGCGTCGAAACAGTTCTTCTATTGAGAAAGCAAGAACGACGGTTAAACAGCGTACAACAGCGTTTGCTTCGACACGATGAGGGTTGAATCTTCCTTGAAGACGTAATCACCAGAACAGCTAGTTGCTAGAAGCGAAGCGTTTTTGTATTTTATTAACAACTTTGATGTTCCTCCTGCAATCTTTTGTATCCGCATTGTCCCTGAATCTGAATCCAGATTTGCTTTATTCTCCACATGTCTTCGATTTCTCGTTTCTGGTTATTCTTAAATTTTCCTTTCTTCTGACTGCTTCAGCCATCTTCATGATTTCCCTTTCATTGAAATACTTATGCTTGTTCTGGATTATGTTATGTTCGTCAGGTTTATGTTTAAAGCATTTTTATGCACTATGCAATTCTCAAATATATAAGCTGATTATTTATTCCGGTGACTTCTGAATGGAAGCAGAAATAACAGCAGTTCGACAATGAACTTTTTTGGAAACATGCTTTTTCAATGGAATTACATTTAAGTGTACTTTGTTTATCGGTGTGTACTGATCTCTCCGTTGTGATCGAAATATTTTAGGTGTTGCTTTTGTACCCTTTGCTCCGGTACTGGAAATTTAGTGACTGCACGTTGGCACTTCTTGGACTATTGGCTCGCTTTTTCAGCAGCGTTTGTTTTAGTGTCGCTTTCAGTAGCTGGTTCGTGTTTTCAAGTGGGTTCTGAACTCTTATCTCCGCATCCCGTGTTGTTCCTGTGGCATGTAAAGTTGTTCTCTTTTAGCGATAGTATTTTTCATGTTTTCCCGTTTTGCCGCTACCGGAATGCGCTCGGTTGTTGCTACTTTAGTGAGTCACGAGGAACAAGGTAGACGATGTTGATTCTAGCCTTTAGTTGTTGTCGTTCTTAAAGTGCTTATATTAAAGGTAGGATATTCGCTATCGTTGCGCTCATCGAATCCATCGCTACTATACTCGCGTCACTCGTGTTCAACGCCCTGTTTCCGCTGACCATTCCATTCATGCCCGGTTTTTCTTATGTCCTCATCAGCGTGCTTTTGTTTTTACCGATCGGTTGTTTAGTTTATGTTAAGTTTCTATTGAAAAAAATTGACCTAATTTCTGTTAACGAATCTTCGTTGTTTCATTCTGAAGAGTTCGACAATGTTGACACCTTGAATGTGCGATTCTGATTTCGTGATATTGGTTTATGAATGATCTGTCAGTTATTTTTGTATAATTTATTTAATTAAAGTCTTCTTGAGATTGAGAAGCCACAGCTGCGATGATTTAGGCATATCTTGTGAATGCTTCAAGTAAGAAACATGAATCATCTACTGTTTGCTCAACTGACCGGCTGAAGACCTCGAAACGGCCAAAAAATTACCTAGGCAACTGCCTCGACTGACTGTGCTCCAGAATCGAGTTTCATGCTGTCGAAAGTCGGAAGCAGGCATAGGGCCAGGAACGTTGGAGAGTGTCGGAGTGTCTGCCCTCACGACCTTAAAGGTCATCGAAACACTTTTTAACTTCTCACTTTGCGTGGATACTGACTCAGGAGGTGAATGAATGAAATCCTTAGACTACGATTAATAAATACTGTCGAGATAGAGGAAACTGACACCTTTGGTCCCACTTAGATAGCAAAGTTCTTCAAATTCTTGCGTTACAACGCTGTTATACGTTATGTCATGAACTGCTCGATTTGAACCGAGGGGGATATTTACCCATATTGCAATATATACTGTTTTGTCAAACAAGCTAGATAAGTTGCACAGACATGATTGTAAGTTGCTTCTCAAAATAGCACTGAGAGCAGAATCTATCTGTTGGGCTGTTAACTCCTGCAGTAAGACGCTGTACACTGAGTTTGCATACTGTGGATGTACTCTTCTGCCCCGATAATGGCTGACATTGCTTGGACAAATGAGTTTAATTGCCTGATTGGGACTCGCATTCCTCCTTAGAGACACAATGTCGCAACTCCATCGTGTAATTTAAAATGGTTGCCACATTTATTCACAGAAAGTGTGTCGGGGAGGGATCACATAAACAACGAAATGGCAGGCTTTAATCAGTAAACCAACATGCAGGGCCATTTTCCAAAGAAGTTTCTTTTTCTAGGAGCAAAGCAGCTCGTGAATCAAAGCTGAGAATGCAGATGAAGTCACCAACTGATGTTAATGTAAAAACTTGATCTATCGTGGGCGCTTCTCTTTTCTGGACGCGGAGGCAGGCGCGTCAGTCAGCTTCTAACGTTTCCGATCCTGTGCCAGAGTATGAGCTTCAACGGAAGACAACTGGAGTCTGGAACAGATTCCTTCCACATGTTTGCACCAGGTTAATCTTGGCGTCCCCGGGTCCTTCTGCCCGTCGGTTTCGCAGAAAAAAGTTGCTTACCTTCCTTTCTGGAGGCATTCGCAACACATGCCCAAGCCATCGCAGCTGTGACTTCTCAATCTGGAGAAGCAAAGGCTGTAATATAAGGCTCTTCCGGATGTCACTGTTCCGGACCATGTCGAGAAGCGTAAGACCAGCGACTCGTCTAAAAAAGCCCATTTCAGCAGCTTGTACCCGACTGAATCGTTTCAGTTATTGTCCGTAACTCATGACCGTAGGTAAGCATGGCGACAATGATCAGCAGGGATTAGTTTACAGACTGAGCTCTGCTTTAGTCATAATGGATTGGGCTAACTCACGCAGAACGCCACTGGCTACTCCATTTCGCCCGTCGATCCGTTCATCAAATTTTCGATCGTCATGACCACGAGGTACCAGAACTTCTCAACCTGCTATAGCGCTTCTCCATCAATCTGAATAGAGCAACGGGCAGGAGAACCAGAAACAGTAAGTCTATCGTTTTAGATGCGCTCTCATGCATGCCGGTCACGTCCCACTTGGCAGTGAACATTTCTAGAGTGCACTGTAGATCAGTTACAGAAGATGCCAATAAAACAAGGTCGTCTGCAAAAAGCAAGCATCTCCATTTCACATCTCCTTCACTGATACACTCATCGCCTTGTCAGCT